ACGAGCAGTTGCAGCGACCGAGCAGCATCTCAACACGCTACGCAAGATCAAGAAGAGCAGGGCGGATACACTTGCGGATTTGAGGGCAAAGATACAATCCGATGACATTTCGCACCTGTTGATCCTCAACCGACGTTCTCCACCAGAGGCTCAACGGAGCTTGTTCTCGCAAGAGTTGGAAAAGTTCAAAGCGCACCAGATTAAGCTTGCGAGTACATCTGCCGAGCAGGAAAAGGTCCTTGCCGAACTTGCGAGGGAGTGGAAGGAAATCACAGAGTCCAAATTTGGACGACGAGTTGAAGGCGACTGGAACAAGAAATTCACGGCAAAGGTCGCGCTGACCGCAAAGCTGAAACGGGCCAAGGAGACCAACGCGCAAGCGAGAGCGGGCGTGGCCAAGGCTGTGCAATTTTATGCAGAAGTAGAAGAAGTGGCTGCAGAGCTGAAACGAAGCGTCAGTTCATTTATTAATGAGAGATCGGCGGAGAGAGAAAGGCTCAAAGCGGAAGCAGAATGGGAAGAGAAAGGCAAGGATACCGCCACTGCGTCAGCTGCGAGTGAGCTGAACAGATCTTTCGGTAGTCTCAACATGGGCGCACCAAGAGGTCCAAGTTCACCTCCGCCGCCTTCTGCGTATCAAAGTCCTAGAACCGCGCAACACACACCAGGTCCTTATTACCCGGTACCTCCGCCTTCTGCGCAAAGCGCATACGTGTCTCCATCAGGACCTTCCGCTCCAACGCACCCCAATCCAGCGCCTGCGTCACCCTACGAGGGGCTCTCGGCCTTTGAATCTTTTGGGTCGTTTGGAGCATCATCTGCTGGCACGCCTCGACCGCCGCCTCCCCCTGCTCCTACTCCCCAGACTCCGCACGCTTCTTCTTCTGCAGCTACAACGCAACCCAATCAATCGTATCCCTACCCTCCGCCTTCTCAACCTGGTCAGCAACACTTGTATCAGCAACAAGGTGCACAACCGCCTCCACCTCCCGGCAGGCAGCCTTCGTTACCTCCTCCTCCATCACAGTATACCTCTAGTGTACCTCAGGGGTATGCGGGAGCCTACGTTCCGGCCACTGCTGCCCCCTCGTCCCAATCGCAATGGCAGACCTCGCAACCCTCTGCACCGGGCAACTACGCGCCTCAGTACTCCTCACATTATGGCAGCGCACCGCCGCCTCCGCTACCCTCGCAGTATGGCGCGCAACAGCCTCAGCAGCAAAGCTGGCAGGGACAATCTGCCCCTCCACCGCCTCCTGCTCAAATGTACGGATATGGACAAGGGCACGCATCCACTGGGCCACCTCCTCCACCGCCACCTCACGGAGGCTACTCGAGTCAGAGTCAGCAGCCGCAGTACGGCTCGCAAGGTTATCGACCCAGCTATTGACTTTTCACTGCCGATCACCTGATCATCTTGGCAAATGTGATGTTTTGCTGCAATTCGATCAACATGTGACTATGGCGTCCATTCTTCGCCCCTGCTAGCAAAGTCTTCCGCCGCCCGACGGACCA